GCATAAAGATTAAGTCACGTATAGGCAAAGGCTCAACTACATACTTGGGCTTTTCTGAAACGCTTGACAGAGAATCTTCCAGCAGTGTGAGACAGGTAAACGGGACTCTTTATTTGAACGTAGTCAATTAAAGAAATGTCTTTGACTTCAACATCGTCGTAACTCCACTTATTAAACAAGCGAATGCCTTGACCTTCTGCCAAAATCTCTGCAATGGTGGCCATGGTATGATATGCCTATTTTTATATCAGTTATTCTCTGTTTGTTGGTTTTATGTCTGGAATAAAGACCCACTTACCTTTGTCCCCAAAAAACTAAAAAAAAATTTTCAAAACGTCTACGTCATCATCTAAATTTAAAATTAATAGATTCCCTCCGAACATTTTTAAAATAATGCCGGCATATGGCATATAAATTTCAGTATATTTCATAATATTCAGAAAGTCTAACATTGGGAATTTTATGAGTCAAATATAAACTAGGCTTAGTTGAGACCCTTCTGTTATAGAAGAGGAACATATTAAATTTTCCGTACCCATACAAAATATGAATAATACCCCATATGTATAATTTATCACGTAATTGGCCAATAACACACTATATAAGTTTACAATATGTAATTAAAAAGTAATGCTGAGAATAATTCGGTGGAATAGAAATGAATATGTAAAATAACTATAATAAATAATTGTTGAATAAAGTGTGCATTCTTTGCATTCTTTATTGATAGAGAATTTCATCTTTGACGATCTTATGAGACATTGTTCAGGGGACAAGAAGTGTCCCCAGCGCCATTATTTTTCATCGTTATATAATAGGTGTATTATTAAAGCACCCACGATATCCAATATATTACCAGCATTACGGCACCATTATTCCCAATGTCTCATAAAACCATGAATTCTGTCAAAAAAGTCATTAATTATTATGGTAATGTACTCATGGCCACTGATTCCAGGAGCTATTTTGTAGTTGTTCTTCTTGCATATGACTTGTTTCTATTACCAATGGGTCAGCAGTTGCCATTTGTTGTTGGTTTCGAAGTAAAACTGTTTGTTGTTGTTGTTGCTGACTTGCCCTATCCTCTTCACCAGTATGCATTTCCTCGTTAATTATATGATCATGATTTATTAAAATCGCGGGAGGATTCTGTTCGTTACTCATTGAATATGTTGAATAATGCGTGTTTAATTGATCACGATGCATACGAAACATCGAGTCATTACTAGCTGTGGAAGAATGTCGTGATCTATTTTGAACATTACCCGATGCCGAAACATCAGACCCAGCATTTGGAACTGTTGTCTGTGAATTATTCGAATGATGATAATGTTCTGTGTAACCATCCATCGTCCAATTCATATTGTAAATTTGATTGTTGGTATTCTGATGATGATCATTATTAGCGGCATAATTCGCAACATTATGAATGCCATTCGTGTAATAAGTTTCGGATGAAGGAACAATAGGAGGTTGAGCTAATGAATCAAGATGAATTCCAGATAACATCATTGGATTTATGTAGTTAAAATATTCATTAGGATTTTGTTCAAATGACTGTTGATGATGTTGTTGTTGATGTTGATGATGTTGTTGTTGATGTTGATGATGTTGTTGTTGATGTTGCTGCTGCTGCTGCTGTTGTTGAGGGGGGAGATGCTCTAATTCTTGTTGAAGGAAGGGGGGAGATGGCTCCGGTGTAGGATTTGATCTATAAGGAGGATTTGATGGTGTAGATAAAAATTGAGGTGGTTGTAACCGTTGATGCAAAGATAACTGTTGATGTTGTAGAGATTGGTCAATATTCATCGTTTTAATTTTATTATTACGAGTCGAATGGCTGTTATTGTGAAGAGCCTGTTGAGGCGGAGGTGATTTTGGCAAAGTGACAGATACCGAAGATTGACCAACACTAATGTTACCAGTTAATTGCTGATCGGGTAATGATTCTGCTTTAATAAAAGCTGGTGGATTACTTGATACTTCAAAGTCCTGTTGAATTGATGAAGGCGGCGTTGGAATTGTTTTAGCTTGAGTTTTTCTTCTATCATTTCCGAAATTTTCGCTCATTTTTTTCTTAATTTTATTATTTTTACTCTCAAAATCAGTGCTGCCCCTACTACCGCCTCCTTCGCCTCCATTATTGCTATTATAATAGTCATCAATTTTATCATTATTATTGCTCTTATTTATAGGATTTTTAATATTTTTTTCATTTCCATAACCGCCCACACCACGCTCATTCCAATTTTTCCGGGCGGCAGCACGTACCGCTCGATTTTCTTCCAATTTTGCGAGCTGCGCCCTAAAAAGAGCATCCAGCATTTTCAGACAATCATCAACGCCACAATTTCCACCCCCTACTCGTGTTTCCCCTCCAAGTGATTTCAAGACTTTCATCGTTTGTTCCATGTTTTTTATTCCGTGATGGCTCGATTCTGGTTCCGGGATTAAGGTTTGATGTATTATGCCCGCCTGCGATAGAAAATATCCAGTCATGCTAAAGCTAAAGTAAATCCCATGCCTGTTGATTGGCATGCAGATCGCAAGCTTTGTGATGTTGGTGGCGGCTTGGATGCATATTTGACGGGAATCAATATTCGGAAATTCTTTGGAATCCATATATGGTCGATGAAGATGTATTAGGATGGTATTATACATTTGGTGTATAAATGAGGCAAATGGTGTCATTGAGGCAGGTTCCGGATCCACGTTTGCCGGTAGTGTGCACTGTAGGTGTGATGGTAAACCCAAGAGCCACGAACTTAGAGCTGCATCGATGGCAGGCAATGTGTTTCGTAGGAATCCTGGTTTTGAGAAATATGGTTTCGACTGAAGAATATTCCCAAGTATTTTTGATAATTTACATAGGTGCATAAAATTGATGACATCCAGCGCGTCATCTCCATCATCGTCAAGTTCATAAGGTAATCGTACGTCAAAATCATAAACAGGTAAACTTTTGCTATTTGAAAAAAAGGATCACACATTGATTCCATTGCAAAGACAAAATTAAAGGATGATGAGCAAATTTCATACCCAAATGATGCACACGCTACCACTTCTCCAACATAAGTCGCCCAAAAAACTCTATTTCGAACAGCTTTCTCCGCTTTTCCAATATCCCATTTATAGCAATCTCGATTCAGGCTCAAGTCTCTTGCCATTGACATTGCCATGCCAAGGTACATCCATATTCGACATGAGTATCGACTCTGAGGATAACAATGGTAATATTTGTTGAGAATTTACTAATTTTTAAGATGAAATTAAACCTTATTATTTTGATAATTTAACTTACGGATTTGACGCAAAATTGTGCAAGAAAATGAAGTGCCTATAGTAATTATATAGATAAAAGGGATAAAAATATAAACATTATGTTCGGTAAGTTTTAAAAATCATCGAGAATGCTGCTCACGTCACGGATCGCGAACCTGTATGGTTGATAGTCGTGGCCTATCCATAAAATCATCAAGGAGATCTAATCCAAATTTATAAGAAATTGTGGTTTATTATTAGGGAAAGAAAATAGATATACGACTTGAAAACAAAAATTGAAAGATTCATTCACCTCGTGCACGTTCAAAGAATAAGTCTCCTACCGTTTCCGGTTTATCAGGATCTCCCCTTGTTCTCGGATCATCTGAAAATATACTCGCCACGGCAAATATCGAATTTAATAGTAATATTGAAGGAGGATTATTTTTGTCCTTTAATGATTTCAGGAAACTTTGACGATGTATTATTGGCATTCGACACGAGTAACCATGAGTAAGATATAATTGAATCAGATTATCGAATAAATCTTTGGGTGGTAGTTCTTGAGATGCATTTATCTTTTCGGGTAATGGAGGTTCTATTGATTTATTTGCCTCTTTTGATGTGTTACCACCAACACCACCACTATTATTATTATTATTCTTATTTGATGATGAAGAGGATGATGTCAACTTGGGTTCTTTTGTGATCGTAAGATAAATGGTGGATGATTTTGTTAATTTTAATGAAGACATCGTTTCACATATTTTATCTGGGTCAAGTTTTCCTTCCTCTTCAAGTTTTGAAGCCATGTTGACTAGATCATGGGTTGGTAAAATTATTTCTGAATCATTTTCCACTTTATCCGCATCTGTAATCTGTACTTGATTATCTGCACCCTCCAAATATTTTGTAAGTACATGTTCAATCTTTATGGTCGTATAATTAATATTGATCAAAGATGGTTAATTCATGCGCACGCATATATATAAAATGAGATAGAAGCATGATTCGATAAATACACACACACCTTACTTAACCTATCATCAATAGTCTCGACATAACCACGTTTACTCCCCGGGTGACTATAACTGCATTCACCATTGAAAGATTTACAGTTTCCACAAATAGGATAATCGCCATCACATTTTACGTGTCTTTTTCGACATCTGTCACAAGCATGGCTATTTTTGGTTTCATCATTGAGAAAAAAGTTTATTTATTTTATTTGGATAGAGACGCGTAATGCCCATTAAATAGTTTATTTGCGTTTGAACATCAAAGAATGAATAGTTTTCATGAGACGGATATATATATATATATATGTATATATTGCCTTGTATAAATATAAACCGTTTGCTCGCCTCCTCTCCTTTATCCCAAAAATAATTAAGAAAGTTCATGTGCATCCGGAACATTTCATGACACAAATTTACCTTAGCCTTGCTCTCTTTTCTCGTTCGTTTGACATGCTCGTAATAAGTTCGTCGGTGTTATATGGAAGAATGGGTTCGTAACGTGTATATGCGTGAAAGTGAGCTTAAGAAAATTTGATGGTAGAAAGCAATAGAATTTGATTCGACTTTTTTTTTAAGTTTTCTGAAAAAGGAGTGGTGTGTGCGTGTGTGAATTTAGCTCTGCTATTTACTATATATAGAAGTTTTTAACAATTTATTAATTACGACTATTGCGTTGCATATAATAAAATTAAAAAGAAGGAAAAAAAGACTCGTTTTTAGGGGCAATCAAATCCGAGCTTTTCCAGTACAGAAAAGGGGGGTTGGTTTATTAGCGAGAGATTCAAACAATTACTGTTGTTTTGTTATATTTGTATTTTATTTTTCAACATTTGTGACAATGAAAACAAACTCATATGCACAAGAGTGACTATTAAAGTTTAGTCTCGTTAATATTTCACAAAGTGCCCCGAATTGGGAAAAGTTTTCAGTGTTTTTTTCATTGTAACTCAATTATATTATAGCGTTAGCGTTAGCATTAGGTTCTGTTTCTCTGCAGATTGTAGGTCTAATTACTTCGACATTGAATTAATCAGATAAATGAATTTTATGCATTGCATATATATTATTGCATACATTTATGAGTAGTGCAGTTACCATATTAACATGTTGCACTGACTACTGTGATCCATATTGACCAAAAAATATTTTTAGAAATGATGATTATATGATGATGATGACGATGACGATGACGATAGCGATGGCGATTCACGCCATATATTGATAAATGCATATCCGATTATTTCAAAGTATTCTCCTGAAAATCCATAAAAAATTTCATCAAAACGCGTGGTTATAGATGATTAATTTTCCACCTTTACGACCATGATCTTATTTGTGTGTAATATTTATCGTTACGTATTCGCTTTCATTGAAGCAATGTTAATCCTTCGTGTTGAAAATCGAGACCATTCTTTGGCATGAAAATTTTCTATTGAAGTGTGTGTGAGAATATTCTTTTTGCATCTTTGATGGATTTCAGGACGACGATTTTACGTATGCAAAGCAGAAAAATCCATATACACAAAGAAAATGCGCAGACATGCAAAGATCATTCTTTTTGATACACATCTCTTTTTCGGTTATTACGTTCCGAAAATTGCAAATCGTAACCAACTGATCTATTATGATATTACTAACCTGATTATTTTTATCAGATCATTGTGTTTTTCAGAAAGTAAAGAAATTCCGAGATATGAGCATAAACATAGACACAATTTGCGGCCAAAACTAAAGGAATGATTGATGCAAGAAAGAAACAGATTGGCTGCGTAGATGATATGGAATTACTAAGGTGAACAAACAAACGCTTAATCTTTGTTTTCTTTTAGCCACCATTGAATCAATAGTGGGGTTACATAAAAGATATTGACGAAGAGTAGGCGTAGATGAGGAGGATGGACGAACAAAAATTACCCACCACGCTATAACATGAAAAATACTGTCAATTGGATGGAAATTAACTATTCTAATTTTATCTTATGTAACGCAAGAATGATCCGTGTCACAAATTAACAAAATTACGTGTCAAATTAACTAGGACGTAATTATTAATTAAAGAAAAGAAAACTTTATGAGAAAAATTCGTAGCTAAACTCGTTTAATCATAGACTCTCATGTAAACATAATTTCTCTATTATATCCAAGGCGAGCTTGATATTCCAAATTTCGATATGACAGCTATGTTTATTTTCCCCTCACCGTCTAGATAGGAAATTTGTATACGCATATCTTCCATTATTACAACTTTAATTATTTATTTTCCGATGTCAACAACAAAAAACAAATAGAAATATCCATTTGACTAATTAGTTAAAATTAAAATTATTTTTTGCTCCCTGTTCTTTGTTTATCATATAAAGTTTGATCGCGTGAAATATCTTTTGTAAAACAAACCTAATTTGGATCCTATATAGATTTTTAGGGATATCAGATGCACAAATTTCTATCATTCGTGTTCTTGGGATCATGAATTTTCTAATAATTAATGTAATATTTGTAATTCAAATTTACATTAGCGTTAGAGTTGGGAATGCTAAAAGTTTATCCTGAATAATAATTTTCCGAACAATAAATAAAATGTAACAAGCCACAAATTAACATTTTTATAAGTGCCATACCGATTTCGGCAAAACAAAAATACCGATAGGTACTATTTATTTTGATACACAAATAAGCGGCAGTGTGCGAATGAAAAAATTAATCTATTATTATACATATTGTATGTGCTTTAAGTTCAAAGTTTCGCATATTATTATACGCATACTTTTTGATAATTTATACACCGTAGGAAAATGATAGTATACTAATAGTTTCTTTAGACATAGAATAAGATTACATGATAACTTGTACGAATAACAATAATAATAATAATAATAAATATGAACAGAAAAAACGCAGCGCAGAACCATAATTAACACGAATAAATTCAAATTCAAAATATAATCATAGCTTCACAATTATCATATATTACAACTGTTATTCATTATCTCCGGTCACATTGCCTAAAATCAAACGATAAATCTTACAAATAATCTTGCGATCAGCTCGGATTCTGGCTTCGTTCTTGATATTGAGATTTTTCGGCCAGTAACGGTAATGGATAGATTGATAGATAGATAACAGTTTGGGTTATCTTTCGCATATACATATCGTGTTGATTAACAAAAGTTTTGTCACATTACATAATTAATCACAATTCTAGAGCCCCGCGGTTTAAGCAAGTTAAGTGTATATGTGAATGAAATTTATCTTTTTGTGTTTCTTGTGGATCAATCTAATTTTTCCATCAACCAATTATTTTCTATTTTTACTTCGGAGTAGTATAAAATTATTCAATAAAGTTTACCTAAGACATTTATATATATATATATATATATATACACGAATGTTTTTAGTGATAACGAGTTTTAATCTGGTTTCCAACATTATTTATTTATGATATGCATTGCTTTTATTCAAAAAAAATCAAACAACATCGATATTTTATGAAAAGAGTAATTTAGGTAACAGTAATTTAATCTTCACAAGAGATAATTACGGTCTGATCTTCTTAAAAGAATTGAGTTTTTTTCAGTGATGGGGAATCTAAAGATACGAAAGAAGTTTAACAGACATGCAATTTCCAAGTTATTAACCAGTATTATTAAATTAATTGAACCGTAGAAACACACATTTGAAACATTGCTATTCATAAAAAAAGTTTGTCACGATTAAAAAACACATCTAACCCAAAGAAAAGAAAACCTAACTTCAAACTAAGTTTTCGTTTACAACTCGATAATTGGAGACGATTATTAATAATCTTGCATCCATGAATGCAATTCGGGTTGTGATGCGCCTCTTCCCTTATTTATCTGATTCAATTTATCTGATTCAATTGTTTTTGATGATATTAGTGATTTATTAATTGGATGAAAATTATGGATAAATAAAGTTAACAAATGTTAAGCTTATTAGCACGGTCCTTTGACGGAGCATGTGAATAATGATAGAAATACATGATAGAAATGCAGTCAAACATCTCTGTAAAGAACACAGTTGAGTACCAAAAAAACTGTGTTCTTATACAAATATATTATAGTGTTCTAGAGTTTTTATATGTAACTTATTGGGAACCGATAAGTCAATTGAGAGCTAATTTGCTTTTTATAGTGAAGTTTGACTATATAAAAACCTAAGAGCAGTTGGTATCACTATTTATTATTTCAAGATAACCCTCCCCCAAAACTTAACGTTAAGAAAACAAAAATAACGAGTATTTTATCATATACACACACACACACACACACACATATATATATATATGTATATATATATATATAATATGCTCTGTTAACTTGATTTGATTTGAATCGACATATTGTAAATACGGTAAATAAAAAATTTGAATGCATTAAGCATTCGATTTTTGATGATTATCAAAAAAATAATGCGAATTTATCGTTAATCTAGAAACACAAGATATTT